CTCACTGGGAGGAAGTGCGTCCTGGCCGCCAAGGTCCTCCCTATGGGGTTCCTTAACAGTGTTAGCATCGCCCAGCATGTGCACCGTAACGTGATTAGGAGTGTGGACCCCCTCCTTTTGACGGGAGATCAAGAGATCCGGAAAGACAAGAGTTTCCCCGTGAGCTCACGCCTTTTTAGGATCTACCTCGACAACTTCGATTTCATCCAGAGAGTGGACTCCCAGTTGGCCGTCAGGCTGGAGGGGAGGGAGAGCCCGGAACAGAAGGCTGTCAGGAAGGCCTACGAGTCGGCCTGCCTGCCTCGGCATCCCAAGAAGAGTGTGGTTAGTGCTGAAAGGGCAGAGGTGCAAGGTGCGGTCGTCAGGGGCCACGAAGGGGTGGCTTATCCCCGCCCAGAAAAAGTACTGAAGTACATGGGGCTGGCGGTGGAGCTGATTGTGTGGGGCCGAGCTGGCCTCAAACATTTGCAAGTGGTCGCCGGAGGACTGGTATACATTGCTATGTTCAGGCGCCCGCTGTTCTGTGGCCTCAATTGCGTGTGGCGTCACATTGAGGTTCTAAAGCAGGGAGGTGGCAAGCCCTAGCTTCTACCTCCTGCCGTGGTGGCCGAGCTGGTACGGTTCTTGTGTTTGGTCCCTCTAGCACAACTGGACTTCCGGGGTGAGCTGGTAGGAGATGTCACTGCCAGTGATGCGTCCACCACTGGTGGAGGCATCTGCGTCACAAAAGGCCTCACGAGTTATGGGGTTCATGCCTCCCAGGCCAGTATCCGGGGGGAGTGGCCTGAACCCCATGACATGTGTCAGGTGTTGACGGTAGGCCTTTTTGATGGCCTTGGTGCCCTTCGCCTGGCCTGCGATGCGCTTGGCTTGCCTATGTGTGGGCACATTTCTGTTGAATCACATGCCCCGGCCCGCAGGGTGGTCGAAAGCTTCTTCCCAGGAACCGTGATGTGGGATGATGTACGCACCGTAACTGAGGAAGTCGTTCTGCAGTGGTCCACCCAGTTCTCCTCGGCAGGAGTAGTGCTCATAGGAGCCGGACCCCCTTGCCAGGGGGTCTCCGGGCTCAACGCTGACAAGAAGGGTGCTTTGAAAGATGCACGAAGCTGCCTCTTTGCGGAGGTGCCCCGGATTACCGCGCTGATCCGCAAATGTTTCCCATGGTGCCAGGTGAAGTTCCTCATGGAAAGTGTTGCGTCCATGGATGACCGTGACATGCATCACATGAGTGAGGCCATAGGTTTTGGGCCCTGGCATGTGGACAGTGGTCAGGTCAGTCCTTGCCGGCGTCCTAGGCTGTACTGGGTCGATTGGGAGCTGGGGGGTGGAGAAGGAGTTTTAAAGCCGCAACCGCCCGGGGCTCCTGGCAAAGATGTCGGCCTGGTGAGCTTAAGCGCTACTGTGGACTGGAAAGATTTTTTGAAGGGGGGTTGGAAGCCGCCTCCGAGTGGTGTGTTTCCCACCTTCACCACTAGCCGGCCTTCCCCCGCGCCTGGCCGCAAGCCTGCTGGGCTGGGAACATGCCAGCCACATGAGCGGTCCCGGTGGGAAGCTGACCGTCATCGATTCCCGCCGTACCAGTACAAGGACAAGTTCTGTGTGTGGAACAAGCAGGGCGACATGCGGCCTCCTGACATCGAAGAGCGGGAGGTGGCCATGGGGTTCCCGTTGGGATACACCAAGGCCTGCATGCCCAAGTCGCAACATGGCAACATCCAGTTCGAAGATTGCCGGCTTAGTCTAGTGGGCAATTCTTGGAACCTCTTCGTGATCACCTGGCTAGTATACTGGCTGTTCTTCCCGTTGGGACTGTGTGCACCGCGGTCTTTGCAGGACATCGTGAAGAGCCTCGCGCCCGGATGGTCTCCTACGTTCCAGGGAGTACTACTGCGGCCCCCTTTGAGGGCTGTCAGGGGCACCAAGGTTGACTCATCATTGAAGCTCGTGAAGAAGTTCCTGGGAGTCATTTCTATAAAAGGAGAGGATCTCCTTCTTCAGGCTTCTACCGATGTCCATGTCCGGTTCCACAGGTTGCGAGCATCTATCCCCAGCAAATTGTGGCGGTGGAGAACTGTGGCCGGATGGACTTGGAAATCACATACGGACCACATCAACGTTTTGGAATTGCGCGCCATCCTGAGCACCGTCAAGTGGCGCCTCGAGCAACGTGGACAGATGCACAAGCGATGGATCCATCTCACTGACTCTCTGGTTTGCCTGCACAGCCTTTGTCGTGGCCGCACGTCGAGCCGCAAACTTCGTAGAACCCTCACCCGAATCAATTGCTTACTCCTCGCGACACGCTCCCAGCCCCTATGGGGGTATGTGCACACGCACCAGAATCCGGCCGACAGGCCAAGCAGGAGAGGTGTCCGTCGCAAATGGTTAAAGCAATGAAGCACGTTGAAGGGAGGTCGCAACGGGAGCGAGCGAAGATTCGGAAAGATTTGGGTTCACTCAAAAGTTTAACTGTGCAGCCAGCCACGCGTACCAGATATGAGAAAGCTCGGACGCGTTTTTTGAAACATTTGCGGGATGGAGGGATCGCAATCCCAAAGCAGAAACTTTTAATGGATGAGTTGGTCTCCGATTATATCGAGACTCTGTGGTCCCAGGGAGAAGGCAGGGCTTTGGCTTCAGATACCTTAGCCGGACTGCAAGATTTGGACCCCAGCCTCCGCCACCAAATGCCCCAAGCATGGCGCCTCATGAAGGCCTGGAACAGCAATGAGATACCAAACAGAGCTCCCCCGTTCCCGGAGAGCCTTTTAAAGGCCATGGTGGGCCGATGTTTGTTCCAGGAAAACCACGGAATGGCTCTTTCTCTGCTTGTCGGATTTTATGGCTTGCTACGCACTGGAGAGTTGCTTAGCATTCAGGCTCGTCACGTTTCCGTGAGTGCGGATCACAAAACCGCGGTTGTTTCGCTGGGGTGGACAAAGGGAGGCAAACGTCAGGGAGCTGCCGAAAGCTGCACAATCACCGTATGGGATGTGGTGCGGCGTCTTGAACAGTGGGTGCTTTCAGTGCCCAGCGGCTCCTATATGTGTGCCTCCCCGTCTACCTGGCGGAAGACTTTTAATCAGCTCCTGGCTGACATTCGAGTGACTGAGTTTGAGTTTCGGCCATATAGCCTGCGCAGGGGTGGCGCTACTTTTTGGTTCCAACGTCATGGCCAGTTTGACAGGTTGTTGGTCCAAGGCAGGTGGCAGGCAGCGAAGACTGCCCGCATTTACCTGAACGAAGGGCTGGCTATGTTAGCCGAGATGAGATTCTCTCAATCCCAACTGAGTGCTTGGGTTCGCTTATACCAAAACGCACTTAGAAGTGCGCTGCCGAGGCTCGAGCGAGCGTCGAGACGCAGTACAGGGGGACGTGGAAAGAGGTCGAAAAGAGGGAAAAAGGGGTGGTGGCTAGGCTGTTCCGGAGTTTCTTTTTCAGACGGCCTCAAAATTGCACCTGAGCGCCCTAGTTTCTTCCGGCTTGGCGGAAGAGCTAGGGGGGGTGCGGGGGGGGATTTCCTCTTTCTTCGGCTTGGCGGGAAAGGGAAATCCTGAGGCCCCCAGTTTGACAAGAAACGGGCAAGGGGCCCAGGGCTAGTTAGCCACCACAAAGAGGACGTAACTTTTTATTTATGACAAAGTTGGACTTGCTGTGCGCAGAAAAAGTGCGGCTTACTCTTTGGACTCACGTAGCGGGTATAAAGAGTAAAGCACTTGTCTGCCGCAGCCACGTCAGCTTAAGGTCCCGCCCACCCTTCCCCGAAAAGAGGGAAAAAGGGGTGGTGGCTAGGCTGTTCCGGAGTTTCTTTTTCAGACGGCCTCAAAATTGCACCTGAGCGCCCTAGTTTCTTCCGGCTTGGCGGAAGAGCTAGGGGGGGTGCGGGGGGGGATTTCCTCTTTCTTCGGCTTGGCGGGAAAGGGAAATCCTGAGGCCCCCAGTTTGACAAGAAACGGGCAAGGGGCCCAGGGCTAGTTAGCCACCACAAAGAGGACGTAACTTTTTATTTATGACAAAGTTGGACTTGCTGTGCGCAGAAAAAGTGCGGCTTACTCTTTATATATATATAAACAGTATTGGCTAGGTTGGTTATGGGCGATCTCTCGCGGGCGCTTCAATGTTCATGCTTGACGCAGTGAATCGCAGGTCTGGTGGATATCCTGACCCTGGGGTGCGACGCTCGGGTGGCGCGCTTCGGCGCCATTTGAACTAAACGGCAGGTGGCTGAGCGATCTCCAAAACGGGGATCCGCTACTTCGGTGCAGGGCTCGGATCTTGCCGTCTCTTGCCACTTCAAGGGAGAGAGTTCAAAAAGCACCGAAATGCTGCAGCATTCTAAATGCATATAAATTGTAGAAACACTTACACACTCATGATATGTCTCAATATAATGCTGATGCAGGCATCTCCTCGGCAACAGTTGGCAGATGGATCTCCGAGGCGAAAGGTGGCTGGGCCTAGCCAGTAGCCAGGAATACCTGTTCCCTGAGGCTCAGAGGCCACACAAGGAATTGGGCCAAAGTAAATGAACATGGAGGGAGGACAGCTGCTTTTGATGTGAGCAGAGAATCATAGCTAACAATACCTTTCCCTCTTTATACCTGTCAATGCTGAGATGCTCGTGCATTGTCGTGAGGCTTCTCAGTCACCATCGCCAGGGTCCAGACCTTCATCTCGTGCATGGCTAAGTGAGATGAGCACAACCGTCTCTTGACACATGCTTTGTTTTTTATGCGGTATGCCCAATTTGAAGACTTTGGAGCAAGCTTGAAGCTTGGAGCTTCCAAGTCCACGGCAGCTGAGGTGACAAGTTTCCTCTAGACATACCTTTGGCTCATGCTCCTTGTGAGGCTGGAATGGCAGCGTACGGAAGAGGGATGAAAGCTTGAATCAAAGCCTGGGTCATACCCACGGCCCTCCGTTATGGTCCCCATCATCCTGGTGGGTGCTTCACAACTTCGGTGCTGTCCAGGTGGTGCTTTCCAAGCTGCAGTCACTATCTGCCTCCAAAGTCATGGTCTCAGACCTTTGTTTCCTTGTCCTTTCCAGTTTCCTGCGTGTTGCTTTGAGGACAAGAGGCCGCAAGCTGAGTTTGGAGAGCTGTGTGAGCGCGTTTCGACGCTCGCCACAGAGATGAAGGCCAGTTGCGGCGCGCAAGACTGTATGTGGGAGCATGAGCTGCTTGACGCGGTCTTGGAAAGATGGCAACCGAACTCTGTTTGGGAGGCAGGCAAGAGCCTAGACCTGGCCTTTGCTCCGCAAATGCTGCGGGAGGCCAGACATATTTATGGTCATAACTTACGTCGACTTCGGCGTCATTTGACATTCCGTTAGCTAAAATCCCATTTCACGTGTCAATGAACGGTACGCGGCAATGCGTATGATTCATGCAGGTGATGGGCCTCATGGATGCGAAAGACTTGAAGGCGCCTTCCTTCGTTGGCGATTTGCTTAAGGTGCCATTTGAACTGAGGATTCAAAGTACGTCTTCAAGTTGGCCAGATGTGCACTGTCCTTGCTTTCACTAGAGGCCGGAGCACAGTATGCAATAGTTTGCACTCGGTGTGTGTCTCGTGGTGCGAGTTGATCCCACACATTTGTAAAGAGCCGGCTGTGATCAGGCTGCGACCAAAGGAGTCCCAATCTCCGGCGTGCAAGCTGCATATCAGAACATAGCACAGGCAGGGTGCTCGGAGACACAAGTGTCCCCAAAACCATGCAAGCAGAGGAAACTAGGCCACGACAGCAAGAAGAGATGGGAGAGACGCATGCAAGGTCTTGTTCAAGTTCTCGCAGAAGGCCTTGCACTTTGCACTTGTCAAGTACTGTATTATGGCACGCCTGCTGAGGAAGGCAACGATGCGCACTTCTTGTCAGAGAAACTGATAGAGCCGCTCATTGAGGCACAGTATCCATAGATCAATCCTCACATGTTGTGGTGCATGCTGGTGCCGCCAAGCCTGCAGGTGCTCGAGTCAAATCCTGACCCTTGTGCCTCAACAGATCTCAAAGCCCATGTCTCAGTAAACGAACGGGCACCTGGAACTGGAATGTATGGCAGTGGTTTGAAGCGCCCATGCTTAGACGAGGTCTACATTGTGGGCATTTTGAAGAATGTGTCCAATGATACAGCAAACCAGAAGCACCAGTCGCATGTTTATATGCCCAATTATATGCTTTTGTGTGGTTTTCGAGCCAGGTTCCTGGCCCAACGTGGAGCTGTAACATCGCTTTTTAAGCTCATGGATCCCAAAGTGTTGACCGCCGGAACCTCAACCCGGGTCCAGTCGCTGCGAAGCAATGCTTGGCAGCATTGTTGGCAGTACAGCTCCATTGTTCTACTCACCACTTCCAGTTGCCAGATTGTGCTGAGGGGCAGCGCGTTCTCGTGTAAGACACAGCGTTGAACATTGATTGTGTACTTCCCAGGGCAACCCGAAGGAGGCTGCTTTGCTCATCCAGGTCACGGCTGCACTCAGGACCCGAATCCGAAACTGAGCTTGAAGATTGAGCTGTCGAGCTAGGAACTTGGCCAGCCATCAGTACAAGCAGTTTTTGACGGAGGATCGACTCAATGCTTTGACGAGGCCGTGGACTCATTCTGGGAGTGGATGTCGAGCAAATGGGTGAACGACGAGTTTGGCCGTGTTGGTGTGATGCCTTGAGAAGTCGATCCCCAGTAAGCTTCTCTCAAGGTTGATGGCCTTGTATCCCGGTCATGTCGAGGCCAAGGGGTGCAGATGTGCATACATTTACTCGCAATCAGACATGAATCTAGCAGATCAAATTAGCTGACAAAGGTTGACTTGGAGTTGAGATTGAGATACTATGCAATGCCTTGGTTGTGAAGCCTGCACGGAGTGCGCTCACTGTCCAGCTACTCACGAACATCGCGCGGACGTTGGCAAAGCTGACGCTGCATGGCTCTGCGGTGGAGGCTGGTTTCAATCCCGAGGTGCACACATGCATCACATGCATCACGGTTCGGAACCTTGCCACGGCTTCGGAACCTCAAGGAAATGACATGGCAGCAGCGAAACACGTTCTATGTCATTCTATGCACTCACTCCCACGCTGCAAACGATGCGACGGCATCATTGAGGGGTCTGACTCGAATCGAAAGAGGGTCAAGTTCGGAGGAAAGCAGCACGGGGAGCTTTGACTGGCAATGAAGGTCACGTCTCTTTTAGCATTCGGGTTGGATATGGATTGCTGGTCTAGATCGCATCCCAAGCAGAAATAGAGATGCGGCACAAGTTCCTGGCAAGTTTATGAACATAGGAGCAATACTCAACATGCTTTGCCATGCTCCAAGTTGTAGCTTAGTCTCTCACACCATGAGCCTGTGGCTTTTGAGCTATGGATTGTTGGCACAGCGGCCGCCGGCTGAGAATCCCACTATACTGCGCGGCGCACTCGTAGCATGTAGCAGAAAGGTCGCTGCTGGCATTTGCTGGTTCTGTGCCGCAGGCCAGGAATCGCACTTGAACTGCTATGACATTATGAATGTCATACTTGCAGACTCTTTAGAAGGAGCCGGTTTTTGTAGTTCGGCTGCAAGTTTCAAACAAGACACAATCCCACTACATATTCGTTACTCCCTGTCCATGCCAAACAATGTTGGCAGTCTTGTTTGTCTGGTGACAACGGTACTTCAAACCATCCGCGATTTTCCGGCAGAGTGGGAGGCCTTTGGCTGATATCAAACATTCTGATCGGTCTATTGCACAGCTGAAGGGCCTTGGACCTCAACAGCTTTGGCCCACGCCGGTGCCTGGCTCAGCTAGGGCAAGCTGCAGCGCAGTGCTGCTGCGTTGCCGGGTTTTCTCATGGCAAATCCAAACAATGGGATCGCAGCTGACTTCGGTGAAATGCTGTGCTGGAGTGAAGGCCAGCTGTTGATTTGCCTGGCTTCACCACAGCCAGTGGCTGTAAGGCTCTACTTGTGTTGCCGCCAAAGCTGGAAGCTGGTAAGGTTTCAAGGCAGGCACTTGACATTTATTGGACATGGCCTGGTCATGTTCCGAAGCCTTTTCACACCTTTGCACCTGGAGGTGGCACGTGGTACTGGCTGGTCACATTCGCCATCTTGCCAGGCGCTGTGCCGTCCCTGACAAGGTCAGCCTAAGATACACTGGATGAGTTTACCATGCCGAGACACCCGTGACCCTGCAAAGCATGTGGCGACCTTGGCCTACTGAGAATTCCAGGCACGCCCCCCTCGAGAGCTGGCGCTCTGAAGGAGAGGGAAGGGTGAGTGCAAAAGCAGAAGCCCAGAGACCATTTGGTTGTGGGGATTGACGGATTGGCCGGTGGCAGGGCTAACGTTCATCGGCTTTGCCAGGGGAGGACTTCCTCCAACAGTGTGCTGCTGCTGGAGGGGAAGTGGCCGTGGCTGCTAGCAAGCTGAAATCTTTGTTGGAGGCCGTTCGGATTTGTTTGTATTCGAAATGTGGACAATCTGCAAGCAAGTGCGTAAGTGCGTGAGGGTCTATGCCTGCGAGGAGGCTGCGCTGCAGTGTCGCGCTTAGATTTGCAATTGGAGTGCCTCCAGGGTGCCAAGACAAGGTACCTGCAGACCGCTTTGGATGAACGTTCACCGCAACTGCTGTCGAGGCCTGGTTGACTTATTTCTGGGCCTCAATAGCATTCACTGAGTTTCTTTAGTCTTTTCCAGTGCTTTATGTGCCCAAGCTCAGCCCAAATGCCTTTTTGTGATCAGGGGGCTTTGCAAATTGAGTGAGTCTGGCATGGACCTCCTGTGTGTAGCAGCATGCTACTCTCCTTACCTTGCTCGGTAAAGCCAAGACTTCAGCCGGCGAGGCTGCACACCAGCATTGCAGCCAGTTGGGCGAGAAGCGGACCAAGGTCATGGCTGGTGCCAGTCTTTATCACGTTTGCATGTCATGGGGGATGGGAGTGCCTCAAGCATTCTCATATGTACTCGCGCTCTTTTTCGCACCTAGGTGCCTCATGTGCATGCCAAAGTCGCTCTGGCTGGCTCCTTCTATCTAGACTGCGGAGGACCCTTGCAGGCGCTTAGACTGCAACGGGGTGCAGACGCAGATGGAACAGTGTCCCGGCCAATGTCCAATTTGAAGACAGGCTGCCAGAATGGCTAAACAAGACGAGCAATGTGGTATTTTGCACTTCACTGCTTTGTTGGGGCCTTCAGCTTTCCATGCGCTTGTGACTAGATTGCAGCTGGTTGGGCTCAGCTCATCCTACTTTATGAGTTGCTTAAACATATTGAGCCGGGGAGCAGATCCTCAGGAAGACGACCCCGCTGAGTTGTGCGGTGTCTACTTGCAGGCCAGGGTGCTCAGAGTGCCACATGCCGTCGGTTTTGGAGCAACTCCGTGGCAGGACCCTCGAACGCCAGCAGGTATGGCTGAAGTACTTGAGCCAGAGGCTGAGGACAGAATACGACGAAACAAGGGACTCAGCTTGCATTTGCTTGCCAAGCGGACTTGTGCCGACTTGTGTCATTTGGGCCTGTACTGCTCCGCACCTGCGTCGTGTTGCAATGGGGGTGAGATTTGGATGCTTAGGTCCCTGCGACAAAAGCTTGGATGGGGGGAGGTGGATCGGGAGTGAAGCGTTGAGTTCGCAGATAGTCTTGCAAACTGCGGTTTGCGCAGATGGTTGCGGCCTCTGGCCTGTGCCCCTGTCTAGCCACGTGCCGCAACTCAATCAGTCAACCAGTCCCTTCGCAGGCACATCACGTCCGAGTCCGGTCTGGCAGCTTGCTGCTGTATCCAGCATGGCTGCGGCCCAAGCTCCAAGACCCATGCCACGGCGTGCAAGCTTGCTTCGCAATGGACGCACATTTCTGGAAGCCATTGCAATGGTTGTGGCATTCAGCTGATGCAGCCAAGCCGAGTTCCACGGCTACTCTACGCATGCAAGACTTGGGCTGCCAGGCTCCAGCATGCTGGACTTCCTCCAAGTCTAAATTCCTCGAGCAAGGAGGACGCTTCTTGTACTATTTGGTCAAGGCCCCTGCCTCCTTGCAGCTGCAATTAGGAAGCAGTGAGCTCCGTCTCCTTTACTGTGGCCGCTTTCTCAGCCTTGCCATGTGGGTCTGCGTCATGCGCATACATTCCGAGAGAGGAACGCCTGCACGAGGAACGCGTAAAAGTTGGATTGTGGTGCCAGGTTGTGCAGCTCCGAGAGAGTGCCGAACGCCGCCTGCACCCAACTATTGGGGGACTGGGATGTTCCGTTTGGAACAACTGATCAATGCACAATTTTCTACGCATGGCGTGTAGAAACAGACTCACTTGGTCTTAGTTTAAGTGCTGTCTTAGCATCGGTTCAGTAATTTTGTTGGTTTAGTATTAGAATAGTATTGGTTCAGTATTTCAGTATTGGTTACAGTTCCTTGGCATTGACAAACCGTGGACGCACAAAATCCTGCACCAGCAGTTTGGCTTGGCATTTATTTTAGAGCCTCCTGTTCATTCCGCCGACTTCTGCTACGGTGCCTGAATGAGTGGGGACATGTCCATCATTGAAATATTTTCGATTTTGATGACTGGTATTTGTTTGATTTGGATTGGTATATGTTTTGAGGACTCTGATGGTTGGGAGTGGAGTGGGGAGTGTGCAGTGTGTTGTGTGGTGTGTCGTGTGTCGTTTGTCGTGTGTAGTGTAGTGTGATGTGTGTTGTGTGTTGTGTGTTGTGTGTTGTGTGTTGTGTGTGTGGTGTGTGGTGTGGGGTGTGTGGTGTGTGGCGTGTGTGTGTGTGTGTGTGTGTGTGTGTGTGTGTGTGTGTGTGTGTGTGCGTGTGCGTGTGCGTGTGCGTGTGCGTGTGCGTGTGCGTGTGCGCGCGTGTGTGCGTGTGTGCGTGTGTGCGTGTGCGCCACGCGCACGCGCACACGTGCGTTTGCCTGTGCATGCGTGCGCGTGCGCGTGTGCGTGCGTGTGCGTGTGCGTGCGTGTTCGTGTGAGCGCGTGTGCGTGCGTGCGTGTGCGCGCGTGCGTGCGTGCGCGCACGTGTGTGTGTGCGTGTGTGCGCGTGTGTGTGTGCGCGCGCGTGTGCGTGTGTGTGTGTGTGTGTGTGTGTGTGTGTGTGTGTGTGTGTGTGTGTGTGTGTGTGTGTGTGTGTGCGTGTGCGCGTGCGTGTGCGTGTGCGTGTGTGCGCGTGCGCGTGCGCGTGTGCGTGCGTGTGCGTGTGCGTGTTCGTGTGCGTGTGCTTGCGTGCGTGTGCGCGCGTGCGTGCGAGCGCGCACGTGTGTGTGTGTGTGCGCATGTGTGTGTGTGTGTGCATATGAGCGTGCGTGCGTGCATGTGTGCGTGCGTGCATGTGTGCGTGCGTGCATGTGTGCGTGCCTGCATGTGTGCGTGCGTGCATGTGTGCGTGCGTGCATGTGTGTGTGTGTGTGCTTGCGTGTGCGTGTGCGTGCGTGTGGGTGTGTGTGTGTGTGTTTTTGTGTTTTGGTGTTTGTGTTTTGGTGTTTGTGTTGGTGTTTGTGTGTGTGTGTGTGTCTGTGTGTCTGTGTGGAGTGTGGAGTGTGGAGTGTGGAGTGTGGAGTGTGGAGTGTGGAGCGTGTTTGGTCTGTGTGTGTGTGGAGTGCTGGAGTGTGGTGTGGAGTGCGGAGACCCAAAGTCCATCCAATTCCCAAAGAGAACTCATACAACCCGCGCGAAACCCACAGACAACACCCAGCCAACATCCACACACACACACAAGACCCCACAAAGCCCACCCAACAAAACCCTCCCAAAACCCACATAAACCCACACAAAATCCTCCTACAACGCACGCCAAAACCCATTAAAACCCACACAAAACAGCTCCAACACGCACGAGCAGACAACACGCACAGAAACCCACAAACACAAACCCACCAAACAACTCACACGCAACAGCACCCATTCCTGCACCGAAACTCCCACGCGGCACTGGCCCGGGCGACCCAGGGAGGATTTGAGCCCACCACCCTCCGCCAGCCTACAAGGGCCTGCTCCGGTAAGTAAAAATGAGTGACCATCACAAAATCGCCGCACCGTACACGCCGTCGCCCACGCCGAAGAAGTCGGCGAATTTGGTAGATGCATGTCTTGCCTACATTCTTTGATACTTTCTGAGCATGGTCGGGCCGGGAAGCTGAATGGTTTTCTGAATAACATCGCTATTTCTGCACTGTTTGATTCAGCCATTTGATTTGGGGCTTTCCTTGCCAACCTAGAAAGTCTACGCTTGCACACACAATTCAATAGTGGCTTGGAGTCAACCTGCGAGAAACTTGATGGCCCTGCAAGTCTTATCATCCAACTTCCTATGGCCGCCCTTTATTTTTCCTTTGCAAGCATGGGCCAAGCTTGTACCAGCTGGACTCTTTTGGTTTGCTCTCTGACGTGCTGTGTTTTCTCAGTGATTGAGTCGGTGCCGAAATATGTTTTTCTACCTCAAGAGGTACGATGGGTGCATGTTCATCGCTTGTAATTTTCAAGCATTTGAGATGCTGCTGTGCAAACTAAAAGCGCGCTGCGTTTGGGAATAGCGTTTCGTTCCTAAGCTCCAAGGAGCATTCCGGGCTTCGGAGTTGCTCAACTGCAAGGGCCAAGCTTCATGGAAATCGGATGATGTTACATATCTTCAACAGATCAAATAGTCCAACCTGTGGAGCCTCGCACTGCAAAATGTTAACCATTGGGGAGCATCATAGCTCGCTTGAAGCAGGTTCGCTTCCCGGGCGTGACCCTGCAAAACTCCTGTGAAATTTCTGTGAGACATCGAAAGTTCAAGGAAATTCCATCAAAGTTCCCCCTACGTTCCTTTATCAAAAGTCAGCCTTTCAGACAAATTCCCTGGACCACAAACCCCTGCAGCAGCTCAATCTGCCATTCAATCTGCTCGTCAATCTGTAGGTATGTATGTATGTATGTATGTATGTATGTATGTATGTATGTATGTATGTATGTATGTATGTATGTATGTATGTATGTATGAACTCTTCTCCTGAGTGTCATTGGATTTTCACTGGAATGTGATTGGAGTTTAGTTACCCTTTCCGACCCTTTCCAATGAAATTCCATTTAAATTCCAATTCAGGAGGACAGTGAAGGTACATGCCGATTGCCAGCGCATGCTAATTGCAGCCAAGCTTTAAGAATGACTTGCTCCGGTCTCTATGAGTTCATGGCGTGCTGCACGTGCGATAGGCAACCGGCACTACTGCTGTGCTCAGCATTCACAGCAAACTAGGTGGCCGCGCCGCCGGCGGGTACAAGCTACTCAAACATGCACACGTCAGCAGTTCAGAGCATTTTTGGCCAAGCGCTGGTCCCTGCTGCGCCACGAAGGTCGGCTGAAGCAGCTTCGGTGGGAGGCAGACACTGTGCTTCGAAGAGACCCAGCCTTTCAGCTGGCGGCCTCGTTCAGCGCAATTCCTGGTCCAATTGAACAACCGCGTGCTCGAGTAGTTGTAGCATCCTTATTCGCAGGCGGTGAGTTTGCCAGAGCGATGCGACCAGCTCGAGAGAACCACGAGCGCTGGTGTGCCCTTCATGGCTATACCTATGCTTGCCTTGAGGAAAATATTGCAGGCAGACCAGATCCCACGTGGTCTAAGATTCCACATGTGCTCAATCTCTTGAGAAACGGAGCCGAGTATGTATTTTGGATGGATGCAGACTCGCTCTTCATATCTGATGGGACAGACCTGCAGTGGGCCTGCAACTTGAACAAAGACTTTGTATTCGCGGGGGATTTGAATGTTGTCTTCAACGCCGGCCACTTCTTGGCCCGTGGTCCCTGGGCAGAGCGCTTCCTCAGCAATGCCTTCCGTATCTACCCCTGGCCCGACTGGGAGGACAATGGGGCCATGATGATCCTTTTAGGCGGAGGCTCAGCAGATGACCCCGACTCCTGGCGACGAAGTTTTGAGCGAATGAAGGCGGGTCTAGGACAGACTCCACGTATTTAACAATGATAACCGAACCACATAATTAGCAGCTGTTCTTTCTGACGCAGTTGCCTGATAGTTCCGTCGAGAGTCATTGATCCTTGCCCCAGGTACCAACTCGGACTGCTGAGGAGTGCCATATTGCAATGACCAAGCTACTTCCCTCAGCCGTTGCGGAGCATGTGCAAGTGGTGCCGCAGCACCTCATCAACGCCTATGAGTGGCCGCAGCAAGGTGCCAAGCTGGCACTGCTCCGAGGAGATCCTATTTTGCACCTGGCGGGCTGTTCATCTCAAGAGAAGCCCAAGCTGATCGCAAAGTTTGCATCCTGCACTGGAGACCCCATGTCTCTGATTGATGCTGGATCTTGATCTCAGCATTTGCCGAAAACACCGGCAACAGGTGGACAATGTCAGAGGTGACAAAGTGTGCCAGTTACCTCGTGGCCAGAAGGGCAGAATGGAAAAGAGAGATTGCACACAACATGCGTGATAGATGGTATGCGTTGTCGTCATCAGTCTGATGCAGTACAGTCATCAGTCTGACTGGCCATGGTTTTTCGAAAGTTGTTTGCTCCCGTACAGTAACCCTCCGAAGTACATTCATCTCTTTGCAAACTAAGGATCGCCGGGTCAGCGCAGCACCAGCCACCAGCAAGAGTTGTGAGGAAAATCGCTTGGGTGCCCGCAGCCTTGCGCATGCTGCGCCAATGTTTGTTTTCTTACGTTCCTACCACTGAATGGAGGCGATAGCGAAATCAGATGCTCACCTGCGGCAGATCTCTCAGACTCTCAGGCGGCACTCTGGGTTCTTGTCACAACCTGACTCCTCACGACTGTCAGCCTTCAACCACCTCTGCTTGTGGCACCACGTAGGGCTCATGCATTGAGAAGCGGATCGGGCAGTCTACTAGGAATTGAAGCTAGCAGGTTTGCTTTGGTCATTCTAACACAGGGTATTCCCAGGGTATTCCGATATTCCAGCTGTTTCATTTTGCGTATTCTGAGCATTCCAGCCGTCTCGCCAGCAGCAACTTGGACTCTGCGGCACTCACGCTGCGGCTCTCCTTCGTGCTGGGGCTCGGGTTCTCAGAGGTCCGTCTGTTTCTGCAAAGCATGACATGCCTTGTTGCGATTTAGGACGTGCAGTTCTTCTTCTTTTTCCGCGTTCGTAAATAACTTATGGCTGCTTGTTAAGACTATGGTTGAGCAGAGCAAAAGCGCGCACGCCATACAAAGACGCGAGACAGTTGCCAGCAGATCAGTGAGATTTGCACACGACTCTCTGGAGAGATGCACACAGAACAGTGATGCAAGCATTCCTCCCTGATTCGCCGTTTGAGTTCCTGGAATCCGAGGCAGCGGAAACTAGACTGATCTCCATACTCCGTTTCCGCTCCTTGTGGACCAAACCGAACGAAAGGGCGGTTCTTTGTGCCTCAGCCATGGCAACCAGCATCACTAGCATTACTAGCATCAGTACATGAGCAGCATCATCAGCACCATACTGGCTCCTAGCCAGTAGCGAAGTTCAGGTTGCCCAGCTGCTTTGGTGTCGGACGTGGAGCAAGTATCGGTTTCCTTTGGCCAGAAGGCATGAAACTGGAAGGAAACCAAAGCTTTAGCTCAAGAAGGTCAATGTTTTTGTTTGTTGCACCTTTTTGCACGTGGCCACAGGAACCTGACGGAACGAAGCGACCGGCTTCGGATTGTCTTCGCCTTCGATTGCGAGGCTGGGAGCTTTGACGTGAAGTTTAGGGCTTCCACATCATGAAAGGGTGCAATGGCGTCCAGGGTGAAGCATTCTCCAGAGAGGCCCCGCTGATTCCATGCTGAACAGAGTTTTGCAGGGCACTGCGCTGGTCCCCCAGCTGCTGGGCAAGTACCGGCAGAAGGACCCTGGGCCTCGGCTACGTTGCCAAGAATTCCTTTAGCGCACGAAGGCGCTTGATTATCTTGCATGAAACGAAGCTCGTGGGCAAAACAGTTGGTGAGGCAAACATGTTTGCGAAGGCTCACAGCTACATGTGAATTTCCATTCCAAAGTGATGAAGGGTTATTGTCGAGATTGCTGAATCAATCGAGTTGAGGGATGCTAAAAGTGCTGGTTGCTGCAACTGTGGTGTCAACTTCAACATTGTGAACACAGCAGCACAGCAGTGAAGCATAGGTTGCGCCACAGGCTGAGCAGAACACAGGAGTATCTCTTTGCGGCTTGAGTCAAGGACCGCCAACTTGCTCGACGAGAGCTGGAACGGCAGAGCAAGGCATGTTGACAGAACGCACTTTGCAGATGTAACGGTTGTGAGCGGTTCTCAGCAGTTCTTGCTGCTGCATCGCAACAATGACAGCTTTGTGAACAGCATCAGTTGATGTACTTTATCCATCAGTTTGAACAGCTCATACTTGTTACCCACCACTTTTTGGCAAACATGTTAAAAGCAATGCTTCCTCAGTGGTCGGACCTCATGAACTTCATGGTCTTTGAGCAGCACAACATAATCTGCATTGGGCATTGACATGCATTGCTTTGAGCGTGCTGCCATGGCTGCGTCTACATGACTGGAACCTGCGGACGTCACGGTGTGGGGCAATACACTTCAGGCTCACATTTGCACTTAGACAACCTCGTGCAAGCTTGAAAATTGAACTAATTAGTTGCCAGAATCCTACTCCATTCAAACTGGGCGGACATCAGGTGTTATTTGCATCTGCTTCGTCGCTGTGGTGGGATTCTCAGCTGACTGCCTTGCATATGTCAGCATCAAGCGTGGCAGGGGAGTGTGGCAATGGATATTAGCACCGGGACTGGCAGCCTCCCATCCTGAAACCACCCAGATCTCAAGTTTGGGTAAGTCGACATTGTGCACGCAAATTCAGGGAACCGCCACCGAAACTCGCCCTGTTGCAACAGGTGTGGACTTTTGCAACGGTCCTGAAGCAGGCGTTTCGCGTTTCGCGTTTCGCGTTTCGCGTTTCCGCGTTTCCGCGTTTCGCGTTTCGCCTCGTAGGCCTGGGTACTGCCCAAGCGTTTGTCCTGTGTTTGTCCTGCGCAGGTGATTTTCAATGACCTCAACTACAATGCTCCTCTGATTCTCACGTACGTGCAGCTGGCCAGTTGCAGGGTTTTGCTGGTTTCACTGCATGTGTGAAGGCCCTCTGCTCGAAGGTTTGCAATGGCTGTTACGCAGTGCACTTCCCTTTGCATGGCCTGCTACGATGCTCTGCTTTGACAGCCGGGTACCCAGCGGAAGTTTGCATTGTCTTTCGGAAGGAATAGAGCCTAGGGTGACGAGCCACAAAGGTACGCACACAGACCGAGCCAGACAAGGTTTGGCTACTCGTGCGCAGGAGCCAATCCCCTGGAGAAGGAGTGAGGAGAAGCAGGGCGAGGCAGACTGTTGGATGCACCCATGGCCCATGGCAAGTGCTGTAGGCGGATCCATCACCAGGTCAGAGAAGCGATCGTCGCCGGCTTGGTGATTGCACCGCCTGCAGCCTAGATGGACTAGCTTCAACCAGGATCGGAATGTGGTCTGCCTTAACTCGCCTGCAGCCGATTGCATACACAGTGACGAAGCAAGCTTGACGGGGATTGGAATAGCTGTTAAGAGACAAACAGTGCACCTTCGCTGAGCGTCACTGGTAGCGCTGTTCCGGCCTGGAAAATTAGCACGCTTGATTGCAGCCAAACAGCCAGCAGGTATGATCTGTAAGGATTCCCATTCTTTGCCTGGCCTAATTTCCAAAAGTCTTGCCTGTCAGTCACCTGCGTGATCAAGACATACTTGTGCTGCGCCCTATTGTGATGCCACAAGCTTGAGTCTGAGAAGTTTCTGAGAAAGAGAGTTACCTTTCAGGATTTGGTTCCTCGCGCAGTGGACGTATTCTGCAGGCTAGGCGGGCTGCTTGACAGTTCATTGCAGATTCTAAATGTGACCATTTCATGATTTGGTCGTGGCAGCGATTGAAGTTCCTAGGGCTGGTTCGTGTGTCAACCCTCTGGCACACTGATGGCTTGCAACTCTTTTTCTTTAGACAGCGCTGATTGCAAACGCTGCGCATTGTCCGCCCTCGGCCCAGCCCAGCATGCAGCGTTTCCGGCTCGAAAGCAAGCAGCAGAGCTGCTCAAGTGGCGATTCATAGGTGTGAGTCATGGAGCCAAGTGACGCAGTGGCGCTGCGTGCCTTGCTTTAGTTTTCTACCACCACGAACCACGGCAACAACAAGAAGGACAACAAAGGTTGTGGAAGCAACTTCTGTGATGCAACATGCTGGGCGATCATGTCCATGCCCTGACGGCCCAAGCACTGGACTTGGCTGGAGATTGGGCTAGGCCAACCAGCAGCTTGAAGCTGGCTGTTTTCGGCTGGGCTAGACGGGCTTGGGCTGGTTGGAGTGGGCAAGACGGCCCAGTCGGGCTGGCCAGTAGATACGAGAAAAAGGCAATTTGGAAGCGCCTCAAGGCCCCACACATTCGGACTGTTCTTTTTGACCTGAGGTGCACGTGTCAATCAGTTGCGCGTCAAGCGAAGGTGTTGCGAGAATCAAGGCCCTTGACATTGTCCAATGCCAGCCCTCGGCGTGGCAGGCGTTGCTTCCACCTCGGTCACGGCCTCGACAGTCATCTCGACCACTTCAGTTGCCATGGCCTTGGAGCTCACGGGTTTGGATTGGTCGGAGTCGTTTCTGGCTCTTCGGCCACAATCGTGGCCAGATCTATGCTGACTTGTGACCGTAGAAGAGGTTGATTGCACTGGTTGGTGTCCAGCAAGCACATCTTCAACGGCAATGTCTCGCACGCATGCCAGCCTCGCAAGCCATCCCAATGGCCTCAGTTTGATTTGAACATTCCAAACAGGCGCACACCTGCTAGGTGTGGACACTCATTGGCAGTGTCATTTTCCTCAAGGACCGGTGGACCGGTGGAACCTTTTGCAGCCAGTTTGCTCAGTAATGATGCTGAACGTTTTGCGCAGGAAAAACTGACAGGGATGAAAGTTTTCGGCATCCTGTGCTGCATGGCTGGAAATGCTTGGGCCTTAGAATGCCTCCCTTATGCCACCAAGGTCAGATGCACCGGGATTTCATGCCTTTCGTTTTGACGGGTTTTCTTAGCTTGTGAGCGTACTTGCAGCAAATCCCCTGATTCCTCCTCCCCTAGGCCGCTTGAGTTTGCAGTGCTTGCATCTTTGCATGCGCAACTCAAGTCAGTTGCCCTTGTCACCATGTTTCCACCACAGGCTACATTCCTAAAGAGTAAGAGCAATGATTAGGCGGCTACTTTGCTGGGCAGCAGTTCTGGAACAGATCACAAAGGTGCGGAGATTTTTAGCACGACTTCTTGTGCTTCAGCATGTGCCGGAGGAGCATTCTCCGGTGATCTCTTGTGCGTTCTTGCAGCGATGCTCTACGCCACCTACACAACTGCCGCATTCTCAGCTGAAAACGCTTGCCTTGAACAAGCTAACCCGAGGTGTTAAGCCGCCTGGTGGGTGAGGACTTCTCCGTGGCACTCTTGTTCGGAGTTATAGGCGTCGTCTGCGCCTTAATGGACCCAAAAGCCTGTTATCCAACTCGCCCCTTGCGTAGCACTGATGTCCCTCTTCAGAATGCTTAGCTGTGCGCATCTTCTTGTCTTTTGCTTGTAGGAATACATGGCTGTTTGATTGCCAAGCTGACCAAGGCCATTCTTGTCTTTGGCGCACCCTTGCTATTCTTTGTACAAGATGATTTAGGCAGAATGACGCCAGAGGCAGGGTGGGGTAGCATGCCAGCACAGGAAAGCAACCAATAGAAACAAAAGCGGAGCAATGTCATAAGATGCCCAAGCATGGCTGTCAACGTTCTCAATGGCTTTGGTTGGCTGGCAAGGCATTTGCTGGAGAGCCAGTTGCCTGCAGTTTGCTCAAGCCACGCCGAAGTTTTGCAAGTTTCCCACCCTTAGTCAGCCAGTCGGAGTTTGGAAGAAGCATGCCGTGGCAACGCAGCAAGCGGTTGGAGCAGAGCGAGAATGGAAAGGTGCCTCGGATGCAGTGTGCATTGAGCATGTGTTGAAGCAAAAAGGAGAGTACGACATGCAAAGTTTTCAACCAAAGGTTTTAGCCTCTCGTGTCTTTTGCAGAGCGTGAGCTCAGATTCGTACACCCAGGAAGCAGATCAGCAGCCCATCGCGAAACAGGCTGGCTAGATTGCCAGAGTTGATTGTGTTCGGTTGTTTGCTTTCACGCTCGGTTGTCATAGGGCCAAGTGGCATGTGAGACCTCGGGGCAGTGTTGGCTCAAGGGCCGCTTTGCTCTCAGGTCAATCCCTCTGTCCTTGGGTTGCCCCTCCGATGGTCTTGGATGTTTTTGCCTATGTGACCCAAGGACAGAGGAACCAACAGCTACCTTAGTGCCTTTGGCGCGGTCGGCTGCGTCTGGCGCTGATTCCTTTCAGGAGCAAGAGGCGCCGATGGAAGTGGGCCAGGATCCGAGAGTTCGTCAAGCTGCAGAGCACCCTGTCGTGCTGGACTTGTCCCAGGCGCCAATCACGGAGTGGCAGGGCAAAGGTGGAGATCGTGCAGTTCCAGTGGTCTGGAGGTTGGTTCTCGATCCTAGACGTCTACACTAACGCCCATGGTGGCCAGCTGGTTTGGGTGTGACGCGGAGACCAGGTACGCCGTGAAGGGCTTGGCCGTCTCCGTCGCAGATCTGAGAGCGCGAAAAGAGTCTCAAAGCGGAGGAATGGCTGCTGGTTAGAATTTCGCTTTGACGGCGCTGGCAAGGAGGTCAACCTCCCACTCATCTCTTGGTTTCGCCCAACTACGCCAACCGCAGCTCCAACTCACACTTGGGCCAGCTCACCCACCTAGACTTTGCAGCTTCGGTCCTTCCCGGAGTGGGTCATCCTTGATGACCTACTGAGGCTTCACTCTGCGTTTTCTGGTGGGAGGCTCCCCGCCACGGCACCCCCCTTTGTTGCGGCTTGCAAAACCCCCCTTGCTGTTTGGGTCAGCACTGATCTGGCCCTGGAGGGAAGGACTTGATTTGCTATGCCTACCTCTTGGCTTGCAGGATTTTGCCAGCCGACTCGGAGAACGGGGGTATAAAAAGGGAGAGTTGAACGTGTCCGGTGCACTCTGACACGCAAGGCTGCGCAACTCGTTGACGCTGCAAAGAACAGCAAGTCGCAGTTCACAGCAATCCAGGAGACGCAAGTGAGTCTCCTTCAGCGTTTGCTTCCCGAACAGCATGGGCCGGAAGCCGATGAACTGCAGGCCTGGGCAAAGACTTTGAACATCCTTGGCGCAATCCTTTGGCCAATTTGCCAGCAGTTGAAATTGCAGAGTCACAATATGGGGGCTTTGCCGTGATGACCCGGCCAAAAAAAGGCTCAACTTGCTGGGACTTCCTCATGTCACTCCGAATTCGTTCAACCTCATGGCGAGCCGGGCCCCAAATTCCTTGGCTTGGCACGACAAGGATATGGCTGCCTCACTGACAACACCCCCCCTCAATGTTGTTATGCAGATTGCTGAGCAAGGCCACAACGGCTCAAGTTCTGCATTTCTTGGCGTTTGATACGTCAGATTTTTGTTGTTGCTTGTCTGTATTGAGGGGTTTCACTGGAGGGCCCATGTTATAGCTCCTGCAACAGCTTGTGGCGCAGCATTTTGAGCTGTGATTGAAATCTATTCTGGGTCAGCCGCGGAGATTTTGCCATTCATAATATAAAAAAAATAAATAAAACAAAAAACATACAAGCTAGCATGCAAGCTGGCTGAGTATTTGCCGCGACACATCTCAAAAGCAAACCAATCATTGATAAGACGTTCTCACTTTTTGCTGCCCCTTTATCTTGAGGCTGGAGCTGCGGATGAGACGACAGAGCTTGCACGCCCCCTCGTCAACATTCAAGGAGTTCCTATTGCAGAGCATCTGAATTCGGCCGCATGGCCTGTCAAAGGTCAAGGGCACATCTTGGATTTGTTGCGCAGTAGCAACGAGGCGTGCTCTTGCTGCCGATCGTCGTATTAGGTGCTTGCTTCCTATGAGCATCAATTAATGAGACAAGTTCCAACGCATCCTAAAACATTAAGAGCAATCAAAGGCACTTGTCAACGTGCAGTGGACACAGACACACAGATACAAATGAGCATGTCTTTGTATACCTTCAATCGTTGTAAGTCATATTCCTCTTCACATGCTGCTGGCCCAGAAGTGCACGCAACATGAGCTCACATTTCAATGTCTCACAAAACATGGAGAGTTAGTATTTCTTCAGTCATGTTTGCCGGCCAGCGGCGAAACACGATCCCCATAGGAGTCATAGTCAAGGAGCGCTTCAGAGCTTATAGCGAAGCTCTGGGAAGTCCTTGGACGAGTGATGGAGCTGTTCGCTTTGCAGGGGGTAGCAGGAATGATCTTCTGAGCTGATCGGATACCATCTCAACGGGTCGGTATTCACTTGTATGAAGCCATAGGACAACGACACACGGCAGTCTCAGGAGACCCAAGGACGCAAATTGTGTCGAAATCCAAGCCAGTAGAGATAGTAAAAAGGGAGGGAATTCTGCGCACGCATTGGCATTTGAAAGACAATCTGACGCATGTTGATGGATCAAGCTAAAATGTTGGGTCAATGCCAACAGCAGTCTGACGGTGAATCCGTCCGCAATCACTGACTGTCGCATGTCCAGTTGAGGTCTTGCCTCCATCGCCTTCAGATGTGGTGCTAGCCTAATTTCAGCATTGCTGGGATGAGGATCCCGCACATAGCGTGAGTCGTCTGATTGCAAGGCACAAACACCCCGTGCAACCAAGGTGCAAGAGACTGCAGAGCCTGCGGGAATCTCAGCCGTGAGCGCGCTGCAATCGCAAATAGAACGGGACACTTCCGGTGCTGAAATAGCGAGCTTGCTTATCCACTATGCGAACCGAAGCTCGACTTGCACAACTTGTCAGTTGTCTTTTTACGCATCTTATATGTTTGCCAGGGATGTCAGTTGCACGTCTTAGTTACATCTGCTCTTGCTGAACTCCCGAAGGCTATGCCAGGAGCCAGACTCGTCCAGTTCGTGATCCAGTGTTGAGAAAGAATCCTTCTCCGCATGATGTGGAGCGCTTGACCGACGCCTTTTCCAAGGATGTGCGGGACTTGGGCTTTCTGACAGCCGATTGTATTCTGCGAGAGATAGACAATGCCTGCCGCTTGAGAAGGTGCGCTCAGGGCAAGCTGTTGAATGATCCAAGCTCACCTGAAGTGGGCAACTTGTTGAAAGGCGTGCTGAAGATGTTGTACACCGTCGAAACGGTGTTACACACTGCCTTTGCCACGCAGCCAGTAGTGACGATTGCAGATCTGGAAGCAGCAATTTTGCAGATGCCAGCCTTTAAACAGGTGTCAAAGTTCAAAGAAGCAGAGCTGGGCGAGCTACAGAAGCACCCTGAAGTACTGCGAAGACTGAGACTCAACGAGCCCAGCCTTCCATGTTTACCCATGCCGAAAAGCTTTCCCAGCTTCTCGCATGAGGAGATCATCAAGTGTCTAGTGGCGAGCTTACCACACAGATGGCAACACTGGAAAAATGAGGATAGCTGGACGTTGGAGAAAGGCTTGAACATTGTAGCCCAGCAAAAGGGCTTCTCCGACAGCCGATTGCTGGGTGTTTTCATTCAACAGGAGCATGTTTTCCGAATCATCATTAGCATTTACAAGAGGCGCCAGCTCAATCACAGTCAAGCCTTGGGCAAAGCCGTTCAAACGGCACTTCAGCAGGTGGAACGCGCAAGCAAAAGCAACGGTGCAACTCATCATTTTGACTGGAACTTGTGGCAGCAAATGCTGGTGGCCTTCAGCAACCTGCAGCAGCCGGAGGAAAGTTGGGCAAGTTCTCTAATCGCTGCAGCTAAGGGACAGCTAGGAAGATTCTGAGACTTTGTCACACTTTTAGTCGAGAGATTTGTTGACATCTCTAGGTGTGCTTTGGGGGTTACGGGCTGAGCAGTGCGTTGAATGCCCCAAGAGATGGCAGCCTTGCTCCGGCAGGAGCGCTTTGAATTCTGCCAAGAGTGGACTTGGAAAGCTGCTGGATCCAAAGCGGACACACAGCTTCTCACTTGCAGTGCAGGAATGGTTGTTTTGTGATGTCTAGAAATTAAGGAGCTATGTGCCCAACTACTGGCCTCAAGCTACCAAGTTGAAGGCTACTGTCCGATGCTTCAATTGCGGCAGGCCTAAAAAGACATTGGGATCCTTTTTGATCCTATTTGGCAGGAGGGCTTCGCCATTTCCAGGCCCGAACATTGTTGAAAGCGGCAACTTCTGAGTATGGGATTAGTTTGATACTGGTCCATCGTTTAGAATTTGTTAGTTCCCGAAAGCATCGCGAAGGGTTCTTCCGCGCGGAGCTCTCGGACCGAGTTGTATAGAGTCACTTGCGCAGAAGAGCCGTGCATAGAGCCAAGTGCAAATAGAGCCAAGTGCACAGCGCCGAGTGCATAGCGCTTTGGCATTAGCAGCTATGTAAGTTAAGTTTAGGTTTCTAGGGAGCCGGGGCATATTGGGATTGCGACCCTCTGTGGGGATCGCCGTCGTCGAGGTGCAAAAACTCGTTTTTTTTCTTTTTTCTTTTTTTTCCCGTTTTTGCGGTGCGCGGATGAACTGGTGGTGGACTGGCATGAGACTCTGGAAATTGATGGAAAAGTTCCAGAAAAATGAAGAAGCCCTGAAAAAGCTGCTGGAGGTGGCCCATATCCACATCCTCGCCTGTGGAGTCTAGCAGCAGGAAAGGAAGGCCCACCAGCATGCCAAAGCCCTCAAATGCTTTGGAAAGAATTTGTACAGCAGTTTCACTTCATCATTTTCAGTGCACAATCTTTGGAAAAGGATTGGTGCAGCCTTTGAAAAAGGGCTTTAGGTTCATGCCATTGTGGCTGTACAGTCGGGGGACTGGAAGAAACTAATAAGTAAACCACACCCTGTAGCAGCTGTAGCAAACTAGGTTAGAAACATTTTCATACTCAGTTCATTCCAGTTTGCTTTGTTCATTTTATCCGGCCCCCTGTGCATGTCAGAACACTAGAACTAAATCAAACAAAGAGTGGCTAAACACAAATAATCTAAAATACATGAATATAGATAAAACACATTAAAGAAAACACGTATATACATATGTATATATATATATATATATATTTGTTTACATATTTTCAATGTATATATGTATGTTTTAAACATATTTTATTTTTGAAAAACAAAGTGGACTCAAGCTTTGGAGAAGGTTTGGGCAAATGAATTGAAACAAACCCAAAAAGATTCTTGACACATTTCAATATTTGAGCTGCCTGTTGAAGTATATTTGGACAGTTTTTTCAAAACATATGTGAGGTTGAAAGCTCAAAATATTGTGAAAGTGTGTACCTCATATTCATTTTTCTTTCAAAACTAAACCAACCCAACAGATTTGCTGGTAGTTCACCTAAAACATGTTCAACATTGAACTCATTTTCAAAACTTATCTTGAAAATTAGATTCACACTCTTTCAAATCTGAAGCTGAAAGCTCAAAATGTTTAGAAAAACTACCTGACTCTTTTCCAAATGTACATTCAAAAAAGGAAAGTTGTAATTGTAAAGAGTTGTTTACATTTGGAACCAACAAATCAAATCTGATCAAATCTGATCAAAAGTAGTGCTTTGATCAGACTTGATCAGATTTGATCAGATTTGGTCAGGTTTGGTCAGATTTGATCAGGTTTGATCAGGTTTGAAAAAGTATTATTCCAAACATAATTCTTTAATTTAGTTTTGAAAAAAAGCAATATTTGGTGTAGGTCCAAACTTATTCCAATTAACTTTTTATTTCACTTATTTTTAAAAACTTTTTCAAATATTTGGTGAAGTTCTTCCAATTTAAACTCTTCAATTCAAAGTTTAAAACTCAAAATCTTTTTATTGCACACATGTTTTTAGTCTTTCAGTTTTTTCATCTGAAACCTTGTCAAGTTAAAGTATTTCTTACTTCTAAACGATTTCAGTTTAAAATCTTGTCAGTTTGCACAAAAAATGTCAACAATTATTTTCAAGTTGAAATATTTTGGGATTAAGATGTATTTATCTCAAACTTTTTGGTTTTTTCAAAGCACCACTTGCCCACAGCTTGTTGGCTCAAACAACAGATGGCTAACTGTCAAGCTGCTCAAACCTGAAGCTGGGTTGGCTAGGAAGGCCATGAAAGCCATGCAGTCAGGTTTGGAAAAGCCTGTGAAGAAGCCAGGTTTGGAAAAGCCTGTGATGAAGTCAGGTTTGGGAAAGCCTGTGATGAAGTCAGCTTTCGGGAAAGGCCAAGGCAACAGCAAAGGCCAAGAGCATTTTGAAAAACAAACTGAACAAAACCAATTTGGAAAAGTTGGGAAATATGACTTTGGGTGAGAAGATTGAAGCAGCAGCAAAGACTGGCAGCTGCCAAGAAATACCTTCATGCCACAAGGGAAGTAGCTGCTCAAGAGTCTTTGGAAAAGAACAACGCTTGGAAGTCAGCAGAGAAACAAATGCTGGACCAATTCGATTGGCAAGAGCTCCAGGCCCACCTGGCCTCAGGCAGGGTCACCTGGAGGCATGACCCTCATACCCCTCAGCAGTTTGACTAGCTCTATCACCAAGAGGCAGTGGGGCTTGGTTTTGCAGACATCTCTGGCAAAGGCGCTGGGAAAGGCCAGCGGGCAAGGAAAGCTCTGGAAAGGAAAAGGCGACAAGAAGTCTGAGCGAGGGGCAGGAGGAGGAAGAAGAAGAGGAAGGGGAAGACACAATGAGGGAAAAAGCTTTGAAAAAGGCGAGGAGGGCCAGAGACCAAGTTGCAAGAGGCTTTGGGAAAGGCCAGCTCCAGATTGAGCCAGAAGGGCGAAGCTGGAGCACCTCACTCAGCAAGATGTTGGTGCAGCT